GACTTCTGACTTAAAATCATTGGGATAACAATTTTACATTTCAAAAATTATATATGTTTGTCGACTATTTCAGACAAAGTACACGTTGTTAGAATACGGAAGCGGAATTATTCAAAAATTAAAAATCCCTTTTAAGCAAGATCGACTAGATGTTCAAGTGTATGTTATACCAAAATTAAAGGGTTTTAATTTTTACCTAAATTCGATTATCAACCTTTGAATTGATTTTGAATCACTTACTTTCGGCCCTTTTTAATTGCAAGAACTTGGTGTTTCAAATTTCCATGTTTTCTATGGTATTCTTGAAAACAAAGACAATACCGGTGGGTGGACACCTTCTTTCAATTAAATCAAGAAGTTAATTCTTGATCTGGACAACTAAAAAGCAAGAAAATAAATATTTTCTCTCTCCAAATTTGAATTATATAGAACGATGTATTATGAATGTTGTAATATTTTTGTGTTCATCTAATCTCTATTTATATAGACAAAGATGTTACAATTCATGTACAATAATAATTTCACAGTCAAATAAGAGTTCTAATTAAAATTCAAATATGAGTTTTAATTAAAGTCCAATTCCAATTAGTTTATATTTAATTATGTGTGTAGTCTTGGAACTTCAATTACAATTACAATTAAGTTTACAACCCTGAGGGCTAGTTCAGTGGTCAGACCTTGAATTTGCTCCCCAATGGTCACTAGTTCGAGTCGCCTCAGGACCACTAAGGTGAGTAACCCGCTGTAAACATCAGGGCCCTGTGGGATTAGTCGATGTGGGCATAAGCTGACCCGAACACGCACAGTCATCAAAAAAATTATAATTAAGTTTACAACTATCATAGTAATTACAACCAAGTACGAAATTTTATTGTAATTACAATTAAACTCAAAACTATTATAATTACCATAATTAAGTTACAATACTTTATGGAGCTACCACATGGATTTGATCGGACATATATTATCCAACCTCGAATAATTATATCTTGTCTAGTTAACTCTAGAGAACACAATCTAAGTAGTAGTCTTTGTTTTTCAACTAAAGACAAAAGATTGAACTCTTGGAATATATAAGATTACATAAACTAATAAATCTGTAATACTTTCCTCTGACCGGCCGTATATGTATTTTATCTCCATTCGAGATCAGATAATTAGATACGAGTATAAATGACCGTTTTGCCATTCTAATTATTCTCACTAACTTAAGCATAATTTTCTTCAACTGTCATGTAAACTAATCACAGATGTTGAAGTTTAGCCGTCGCAAAACACTGAACTCAGCTTTTAATCGTTCAACGAAAATTACTTAAATAGTCACTCTACCCATTTTGCAGGGTGACGGTTCCCGACACGAATTCATATTCTCTACTTCGCTCATTTTCAAGTTTTCAACTCATCAAGATGTTTAACCAATCAAATTGATCTCACCTAATGATGAATCAAAAAAAATTAAATTCACGAAAAGATATACATAATCATGTAAGGGATTTAGATGAAATACACAGCGGTCAAGTAGAATTTAATTCTCAGCATGGTCATACTATAAAATTAAATTCGACACGCGGTCCGTTCAATACACTACAAGTGTACTAGTATCACCTTTAACTATTTCTGTGATAAGGGCAAATCACAAACTCGAATAGTAAATTCGTCAACACTATAACCTTCCAATAAAAGGTGCCAACCCTTGTACATATATTATGAACAAATTATTTATGATCAAAATATAAGTTGTGTCATATTTCACTTCTCAACGTAAGTATCTCACTCATATTATGACAAGTAATCACAGGTGTAATTTCTATTTCAGATAGGCTAAATAATTAGATAATGATGGAACAAGATTAGGTATATCGGATATTGAACTCATTTTGTAAGTCGTAATTAATTAGAAATCTTCGACTCGAGAAAAATTATTTTGGATAATAACACATTAAGTTCAACCCATTGAAAAAAAGCAGATTTTGTATAAGTTATAATCCAATTCAATTTCTCTTTCTGGAAACGCATGAAATGGATATTTAAGTTTTTAATCATCTTTTTTAATTTAATATTAATCCTAATTCTTATCCAATTACTTGTGAAACTAGCCCATTTTGATTTTGATAGGATGGCTGCCACATAGTTATTGGATTGGGATGGTAATTCTTTTAGATTGAATAAAACAATGATAAAGTACAATCTCATTTTTATGATACACAATACTTTGGATTTGGCTATATCAAATCAAGTTCCGTTTCACATAAAAATTATCAACCTACACCTATATATACCTGATGAGTGATTTACACTCATTATATTATGCCATTAATTTCATGATTTTGCTATCTTAGAGAGTATTTTAGAGGTGCTAACATGTGGTTTTCACGCTATTTTGAAGGATGGATGAAGTGGAGAAAACAAGGGCTAAAAGAGGCCAAATGAAAGAAATAGGCAAAAGTTGGCGAAATTGGATAAAAGGACCAAAATGTAAAAGATCCAAAGTTCGAGGACTAAAGTGCACATAATCAAAAGTTGTATCGGAACTTGCAATGAAGATCCGAGAGTGGTAGGAGTCAATTGGATGAAGGAAGGTGTCAAAAGGAATCAAATTTAATCAAGATATGATCATAAATCATTTTCCAACCGAAAAGTTTTGCACCGAATTTTTAGTCCCACATTCAGATCCATTGTCGACATAGCAAACGATCGAATTGGAGAATGATGCCTAAAGCAAAGTTGTAGCCCTTTGAATTACTTTCCAACGCATCTTGAATCACTTCAATTGGATATCGAACGAGAAAGTTATGCAGAAAACACTGAAACACGCGCAGAATGCCATTTCGGACGAACCGGGCGCCCAGGCGCTATACCCTCAGCGCCCAAGCACCACAATGCTGTAATTCCAATGGAAACTCAGCGCCCAGGCGCTGCATTCCGAGAAAGGGAAATTCAAATTTCTAAAATATACTTCTCGGTCCAAATCGACTCCAACCCGTCTAAAACTCCTAGAAACTATAAATACCACCCAAAAACCTAAAAAAGGGGGAGAGCCGCACATTACAAATCTGTGAAAACCAGCCACGTATAGGGGAAACGAGCAAGAGAATTCTGGGGAGAACAGTCGACAATTACAAAACAATTGAAGGGAATTTTCATTGGCTCAAACTTCTGGGATTGAGAAGGAAGAAAGGAGAAAAAGGGGCACGGCTGGAAAGACAAATACAATTGAAGGAATTAATTTTGGAGAAGAAATCAAGCTGCTACAAACGAATTTTTCCATTCCTTTTTCTTTTCGACGTGCTTTCATTTTAATTTACTTATGTTAATTCTTTCAATTATGCACTAAACTTTAATCCTAGGGTTGATGTAGCCTGCTTTAGACATGTTTGAATTCCATTTTAATTATTTCAATTAATCTTTCCGTTTATTTATTTATGTTGTTTGTGCGCAATGCTTTCAATTAACTGGCCACTAATTGATTGATTTGATATTCTAAATTTTGGCACTCGAGAGAGGCAAATTTAGGCGTGAACTAAGACAACATAACCTAGATTTCGTAGGTTTCGAGAGAATGTGCGAATCTTTGAGGCTTGTTTTAAGTAATAACCACGCACTTGATAATTTTTATATCTTTAATTCGGAATAGAGATATTGGAATTAAAATATAGAAATAGATTTTATTTGGCGCTCGAGAGAGGGAAATAGAATTACTTTAGCGTTCTTGCCTATAAATTTTGGAAAGATCGATAGAAATAATTATACAGTTGAAAAACATTGTCGAAGGTACGGTGAAATCATTCCATAGACATTCATAATTTAATAAGAAATTCTATAATTTATCCTCATTTACTTGCGTCGTTCATCCCATTTATTTTAATTTAGCATAAAATATCGTTTCAACATTTGATTGTCTAAATAAAGTGAGGGCTAAAATAATTATAGTACTCAATTGATTCGAATATCAATCCCTGTGGGTTCGACATCCTAACTTCTTTACTATATTACAAAACTTGACACCGTACACTTGCGGTTTAAAAATCACGTTGCATAAATCGTGTGGCAATACCTCACGGGTCCCCAAGCATTCTACAGAAAATTTCAAAAAGCTTTTATCTAAGATTGAAATATTTCAAAGAAAACTGTTCCAATTGGTTTTTTTTGAACTAGAAAATAAGATACCAATTTTTCGCCCTTTAGTCGAAGCAGAGAGTTCAAGAAAAGAATTTAGGCACAAGTGATTATATTTCGTTCATTAATTCATTTTATTTAGCGAGGTAAGATACTTTATGTACATGTATTTTTGTTTCCTTATGCTTTTATATTCAATTAAATATACATGAATTGTCAGTGGACCTTCAATTTCTTTAAAAAGAGAGATGAATTTCAACGGGATTAAAGAAGACATAAGATGAGTGTATTGTTTGGTCACCGATATACTCCATAAGAGTAGAGTGATATGAAGTGTATATTTTATTTGTTATATAATTGTGTATGGAAACTGCACATATCTTATTTCGATGTTTTCAAATACTCACTCTTACAAATTTTATAGGTTAGTTCGGATCGATGGGAACTGTGATGAGATGGTGATGAGGATTGTCCACTGGATTGAAAAAAGGAAAAAGAAATTAAATAATTAGTGTTATATATTTGTTCAACATTAATAAAAATCGGCGTGTGGAATGGAAAAAGGAATTGGAAGCCTTCTCTTTCGACCATGCGACCGCATGGAAAGAGTCCATGCGGTCGCATGGTTTGGTGCCGAAAATCTCACGGGCATGATCACTTGAACCATGCGGTCGCATGGTTGGTTTTGGTGACCGTTGTGGCCGTTTTCAGTTTGAATTATGGCAGCTTTTAAGATGTTTTTAGCAACCTTTCAAC